AGTTCAACACCTGTAAGATTACAGTTCAACACCTGTAAGAATATAGTTCAACACCTGTAAGAATATAGTTCAACACCTGTAAGATTATAGTTCAACATCTGTAAGATTACAGTTCAACACCTGTAAGATTACAGTTCAACATCTGTAAGATTACAGTTCAACATCTGTAAGATTACAGTTCAACATCTGTAAGATTATAGTTCAACATCTGTAAGATTACAGTTCAACATCTGTAAGATTACAGTTCAACATCTGTAAGATTACAGTTCAACACCTGTAAGAATATAGTTAAACATCTGTAAGATTACAGTTCAACACCTGTAAGATTACAGTTCAACACCTGTAAGATTATAGTTCAACATCTGTAAGATTATAGTTCAACATCTGTAAGTGACTGAGGTGGAGCCTGTTTGCGCAGCAGGAGGTGAATTACTTGAGGTGAACAAAGGTCATCCTTAAAGACAAACATCCAACATTACCCTCAGAGTTTTATTCAAACCATCAGGTGCTTAGTGAGATATTCTGCTAACAGAAAGTCGGTGTTGACTCCAACTTGTAACAGCAAAGATTTAAAAGCTGAACTCACGCAGTCAGCGCTCTGAGTGTGTACAACCACACCCAACTGCAGGGTCACATGTGGACAGCTGTGAGGCGCCATCTTGAATGTACATCCACTGGTTAATGTGAGGTTCATTAAAAACTACAGGTACTCCAGCAAACACATGAAGTCCATAACAGATAAGCACATCCTGGGAACTAGTGATGCAGTGAATGAGCCGATCCTCTAGAACCAGAAGAAAAGGAGGATTTGACTCAATAATTCAACTACAGAGCGTCTCAACATGAACAATTCATGGCAGCTGTGACTGTGCCATCACGCTCGCCTCCATCACTGCAACCTCATCTTTCTCATGCAAACCTCACGTGCACCGAGCAGACTTCAGGAGGGATAGACGGCAGCACCTCGAGGGTTTTATGAGAACGACACATTTACGGTGTGTTCACTGCAACTCATCACACACGCCTGCAGACATTAAGGTTGGAACCTGTATCGTTTCTTGTGCACGTGGTGTAACAAGAACAGAAGCCGTGCACTTTACCGTCACAACAACCACATCTAAAGAGAAGAAGAAGGTGTTTTGAATATAGTGGGACAGACAGGAAGTGAAGGTCCACCTCTCCCACAACCTTTCACACTAACATCACTTTTGTCAAGAAGACAGAGGTAAAGACGTTCTGCTCAAATTTTTAAACAACGTGCACAATCGTATGTGAGACTGCCAGAGTGTGCACGAGCTGTAAGTGCTCAAAGTGTGTACTGAGAGTGACTCTCAGCTACTACCACACGAACATGCAGCTCAGTGTGTGTAAAACTGATCGGTGGTTTTCTGTGCTGCGGTTGCGTCCATCTTGAAGTGGGTTGGCCTCAAAGCCCAATCAGCTGTGGAGCATTAAACTACATCCAGTGGTTCAAGAGATATTTTGCTGACAGACTGGTAAAAACACTAACGCTCACCTTTATCTTTTCTTTAGTGGGAGATAAATACAACAATGAAACTAATACAAATAGGTTACTGAGTAAAGAGCAAAATATTAAACAAAATTCTGTTTAACTTTATTGGACTTGAATGATTTTCTTCAGGAGAATAAACATATTCATATTTTTTATTACCCTTCATTTATCCAGGTTAGCCATAGTAGTCATAGCACATTCAGTAGTCATGGAACAAGTCATTTTGAGCTGCTAGCTTTAATCTGACTTTATATTCTGACCTCTTAACATTCTAATTTTACTGTTTGCAACCTTCATATTTGTTCACGCTTCCCACTTACATAATGTGTAAACAAAAAAAGAAATAATTTCTGTATTTTCTTGCTGATTTTTCCAGTTTATACGGAGCCATATGCATAAATTAACAGTATTAAAGGCTCCGACATGTTTGCATTTATTCATTATATACGACATTATTGCAAAAAGCATGTGCAGCTGTTTAAACGATTAAGTCAAAACGCCTGAAATCAATTCTCACAGCAGGATGTAGAATTAATAATAATAATAATAATAATAATATGCTTTTATTTGCTTTAAGACGGGGATGCAAACTGTTGCAGGTATGTTTAGGACAAGACGAACAGAGTTGTAGGTTTGTGCTCAACACAAAAGTTAGGCCAGCTTAGTTTGAAAACATGAAGCGTCCACTGAGCAGGTCGGGGACTTCAGGAGGCTCGTGGAAGGTCTTGTAGGTGCCATTTCACTGGGCATGACCCCCTGACAGAGACTGGCTCCCAGAGGATCAGGGGTGAGGACACCTTGATGATGTGAAGGAACCCTTGGATATTATCGCAGTGATTCAGAGGCCTTGCATGTGTGTAGGAATATAACACGTTTACATGATGCTGGGTGATGTTTCCAGCATCAGGATGTCAAGTAATGATCATAAAATATTGATCATTCTGTTCCGGCCCAACTCGCACAAACATAAAAAGAATCTCAGGATGAAGAGGACTTATCAACTTTCATCCGGGACGAGCCAATGGAAATTTGTATCTGACATGAGAGGCGGGGCGTTGGATGATTGACATGTCGCTTGACCAGTCGGGGCGAGAGAGGTAGGGAAAACGCGTGACGTCACAGGCGATCATAAATCTCTCCGCCTCCATCTCAACGCCCGAGACTTTTCAACACAAAAGCAAAATGTCCGCTGGATGTTCGGAGGCACTGCGGCTCCGGGGCTGCGACTGTTTGGAGCAGAATATTCCGTTTCCCCAGCGGCGAACCAGCAGGACAATAAAGTTCCAGTGACAGATAAATACGCTCGCCTTGTCAAAAGTAAAAATGCCATTATTTACCTTCACTCCGTATGGCGGCTCATCGAATGTAACTAGCATGTACCTGTCCCCTCTACTAGCCGGATCTCGGGCACGCAGCTGTCAAAAAAGAAAACCAAACCAAAACAATATAAATTAATTTTGACCTAGTCTGCCCAAGGAACCCTAAGCTCCCCAAAGGTGCATACTTGCTAAAAAAAAACACGGGGTAAAATCATTCTTTACCTTCATAAAGACCTCAACCGCGCCTTTAGCAACGTCCAGATACGTCGTACCCAAATAAGAGCGCTGATTCATAGAGGCGGACGTGTCTAACAGAAAAAGTAAAATAGGCATTTTAAATGGAGAGCCGCGGTGGGATGCGTTTCTAAAATAACTGTTCACCACGTTGACCTATCGTGTGGCCAAACAGTTCACACGTGTGTGTATATTTTGGTTATAATAAGCGCCCCTCCAGAGGAGGGCCACTACATCCGCGCTCTCTGTGTCTGCCTTTCTGAGGCTGTTTCTCCGCTCGCGCTGTTCAACTTCTGCTCCTAACACAGTGGAACGCCCACCCTTCCACGCTGCAAGGCCATTGGTCGAGCCCCACAAGCCTGACCACGCCCACGTTTATAAAACTATAAAAAGGTCGTCATTTTCGCGCTCTCTCGCAGAAGCTAATGTGGTGTAAATATGCAGCCTAGTTTATAACCCTGTAAGATAAACTTTGGGTATTACTGTTGTTAAAATACAAGAAAAGTTGGATGCATCTGTTGACAGCTCATAATCAGAAATAGTATTACTTACCAGTTCCTCCATTTCGCACCTCCTCACGCGAACACGTTCGACCTGTATGGCAGGCAATTAGTCAATTAATATAGACCGGACAGAAGCTAGACCGGATCTCCGGAGTGGATATTCAGTACAGTATACAGTTGATCCTAGTCAAAATAAACGTTTCAGTTATGCAAAATGATGTTACTATATAATCCATTATCAAAACTTCTCATCTCTCAAACATTTGTTTTTATTTTTTAGAACAAGGCACATCACATATCCTGATGTATGCTCAATAATCCGGTAGAAAAATCTTAAAAAAAGTTAAGTCATATTGATTTTACCTGTCTGACAAGAACCTGGCTAAACAGGAAGATTTTGTTAGTTCCTCTGGATGGGTTAAAAAAACAAAAACAATAGAAACGTTTTGTCTTTCATCCAAAAGACTTCTTCAGCTACATCACAGTTCTCATTCATAGCATTCAACCTCACAGTCCACAGGTATAGTTGGGTAATGAACAATGTAGACATCTGATATAAACATGTTTGAAAAAACATCCCTTTGGTTTTATCTGCATTTAAGACAAGTTTGAGGCGGAACAAATCACCTGGATGATGGAGCTTACAAAACTTTTTCTGAACCCCTTTGGCCTTGTTTGTCCTCAGGTTGTCTCTGTAGCAAGTTGGCCGTCTGGCCTAAAGCGTGTGATGTTCGTGTTCACGATGACTGATTGTTTTGCACGTGTTAAAAGTCCACTTGAACGATTCCAACAGGAGGTCGTCTTGAAACACAGCAGTGAAGACTACCCATGGGACACATCTGGTTGGCAGGCCGTAGACTGAGGAAGTCCTCTGGATGGGGGACAAAATGTTTCTCACTTAGAGAAACTGGTCCAGATGACACAAGTTAACCTTTTTTGTTGTACTTTATCTACTCCTGCTAATAATAACATAATTATAACAAATATTATGATTTAAAAAACATTATGCAGCTGAAAGATCTTTGCAGAAGTTAAATTCAGATTTCCACGATTATTCTGGTCAGGAACAATATCTGAGCTAAAAACCTTCAACAAACAATTGGAAATGAGGAAAACAGTTTTGGGCATAAGGGGGAAAACATTAAAATGTTATTTAACCACAACTGAATCAGGGCTAACGCCCTGAATTTTACGCAAACCCACCCCAGCTGTTTAAACTTTGTAAGCATTTTAACATAGTTTTTTTTTTAAATTAGGAATTGTGGAAATGTTTTCATATAGCAATTCACTTCAGGTCTCTCTTGTAAATGAGTCCCTGAGGCTCAGTGGGACTAACCTGTATGAATGAAGGTTGGATGAATTTCTCAGTTATGTTGCATTTGTCTAGTTTCACTTTTGACTCACAGCAGTGTCATTGTGTTTGGAAGGAAAGTAAGCTCAGGCTTCTCTAAGTATTTGTTGTGAAATTCATTGGGTTACCCTCATCCAGGTGATCACCTCCACATTTAGCTGAGCTGCTGCAGTCAGCAGTGTTTCGAACACCTGATCCTCTTTGGTTAAAAGTCTTTGACTCTGGGCCTGTGGCTCTGCTGCTCCATCGCTCTGGAATCTGCTTCAAACAACTCAAAGCTCTGGGGCTGACCTCGCTTGTCTCAGTTTATAGATTTAAACATCGTTTAAAAGACGTTTTTTAAGATACTTGCAAATGTTTTCTTGCTTAATAATGTTGTCTTTTGACCTTGACAATGAACTGTTAATGTAATTTGTGTTTCCTTGCTTGTTAATGACTTCATGGTTTTGCCTAACTGTATAGTTTCCCTTCCTTTGACCCTACGAGTCCCAGGCCAGACCTGTAAATAAGAATGTGGTCTTAGTGTTTATGCCTTTAAATAAAGTTGAAATGGAAAAAAAAGTTTAATTTTTGAAGTCAAAAAGTTTAGTTTAGTTTAAACTGATTGATTATATGTTACAACGGCCTGCCTTCAAACTGCAAAATCCGCAGGAACGTGACATACCTGTCAATAAAAAACAAACAAAAAAAGTTTACGTCTAAATAAAGGAGGAACAAAGGTGCACGAATCTGGAAAGATCGAGCCTCAGTACAAAATGCAGCATTTGATTTATGCAGGGTTGTGGTTTCTATTTCCGACTTTTAATACAGCTTGACAGTGGAGGACGTAAAAAGTCAAATCTGTGCAACAGGAAGTGGGATTATTCCTGTTAAAACACGTTAAAAGAGGGGAAAAGACAGAAACAATATCTATTTAAAAGGGTTTTGTAAATATCCTGATGCTGCTCAATAATCCAGGTAGAAAAACCTAAAAAAGTTCAGTCTGGTCCTCTGGACATTTAAAAAAACAAAACAAAACGTAGAAACATTTCGTCTTTCATCCGAGAGACCTCCTCAGTCTGAGGTGCTGTATTCAGCTCAGTCTCTTAAATAGCACCTTCTCAGAGTGGATCAGCCAGTTTTGCTGCTGACAACCAAAACCAGCTGCTCACATGCTCAAGAAGGACCATCAGCCTAACAATGGATCATTAGCACACTGATGGCTGTTTACTGTTCACAGAGGGCTGAGTGATACTAGCAATCACAGCATTGTAAGAGGGGGACAGTTGAACCCGGAGGCCTCCACCCCTGTTTAATGATGGACGATTTCTTTTCACAAAGATGGCCTCCTTTACTCCTCTCTCAAACCATCGTTCCTCTCTGTCCAGGATGTGAACATCTTCAT